CAACCACATACTGTTTTCTGTTTAGGTGTACAATGTAAGGATTCTGACCAGTGTCTTTTAGGCATGGTGAAGTAGCGGTACATGCCGAACTCTGTCAAAAGCCTTGGATAGGTCGAGAATTACGTCAAAACCCTGTTCCATTATAGCGATACACTGAGTTAGCAGAGCTGTGACAGCTGATTTCCCTTGAGAAAAACCCACTGATTATCTGGTATCTGTGTCCTCCAGATGCTCCCACACGAGGTTATAGACATGTGAAAACTACGAGGTAGGCACAACAAACAAATCAACTACACCCAGGACAGCTCTTTTTTTCCAAGAGCTGCCCTAGGTGGGATTCGAACCAACGACACTAGGCGAGCGCTCTACCAGCTGAGCTACCAGAGCAACTCAGCTGGTAGGGGTTCGAATCCAAACACAATACAACACAAGGCAAACCTCAAACCACTGTGCTATGGCACAGTATGCTTTCACTTAGCATGCAGGAGCAGACCGGGGTAATTAAACCACCAACGACGCCCAACTCCAAGCCAAGTATAATTATGCATGTGAAAACTACGAGGTATAAAGGCAAAGGCACAACAAACAAATCAACTACACCCAGGAATAAACACATGTCTTTCTGAAACTTTGCTTACGATGGGTAGAAGTGAAATAGGTCTGTAACACTTTTGGTTCACTTGTTGGCTTTGCACCTTTTCGGAGTAGTAGTAAACCAAGGCTGATCATGCTTTGTGATCACTGGCCACTTCACCTCATACTAATGCTGTAAATCATGACTAAGAGTGCTACTTCAGCTGTAAACTGTTCACCTATGCTATTTGTGGTTTTTTTCACTCCAAGGTATAGCCACTCCTCACACCCTGATATAGCCACTCTTAACACCTACTTAGCTTTATAGTACATACAATACTAGGAATGCGCACGCGCATATTTTGCCTCGCGCCTGCCAGCCAATGCGTAAACAGTCCGACTGAGGCCGCTCGTGCGAGCGCTCTACTGACTGCGCGCGAAGCCAGACTTCCTACGAATCTGCGGAAGCTAGACTTCCTACGAATGACGGAAGTTACACTTCCTTTTGGTGACTAATTGACATTCCTAAGCGTGACTAATTGTACGACGTACGTACGCATATCGCGAGAATACAAACCGGAGTAGTTGCCTCACGCTAACGCGCTCGACTATAATGTTACTAGGAATGCGCACTTGCATATTTTGCCTCGCGCCTGCCAGCCAATGCGTAAACAGTCCGACTGAGGCCGCTCGTGCGCGCGCTCTATTGACTGCGCGCGAAGCTAGACTTCCTACGAATGACAGGAGTTACACTTTTTTTGGTGACTAATTGACATTCCTAGGCGTGACTAGTTGACATTCCTTAAGCGTGACTAATTGACATTCTTAAGCGTTACGACACGTACGTACGTAGCGAGAATACAACCCGGAGTAGTTGCCTCACGCTAACGCGCTCGGCAATCACAAACAATAGCAACCACCTGGCTACAACCACTGTTATGGCCATTCAGTTAGTCTCATGCGGTGAAGCAGTCAAAACCGATCAAATGCGCTTTGGAGACAACCCACGAGATAACTAAGCTGATCAAATATTCACCTCGTGGGGAAGGTGTATGAAAAGTGATTTGATGCTTCTACCGGTATAATCAAGCACTTGGTGTGCATGTACTTCGTCCAACTAGGTGGACTATGTGTGCAGATTCACTTGCTAATTATGCAGCCATTCAAAGCACATGGGAAGAAGCCATCGAAATTGCTAGAAACAAAAGCAAGAATAGGAGAACCGAAACAAAAGCAAAATAGGGGGGTGTTAGCTCCTCTTTGGAGTTGTTGTTGGTAAAATGCTGATTTGACACTCCGACAATCTCAGCCAAAACCCTGCAAAAGAAGTCAATATAATTATAATTAACCCTCGGCGCGCATGCGCAGCGAGGGTTACGTAGTTTTCCCGTAAGCAGTCTGTCCGTCTGTCTGTTACCACGTTTTCTGCCACCGCGCGCACGAAATCAGGTAAATAGCGATATGATTGGGTTCAGTGCTACACTGGGTTTATTTTAAAAAAAGGCGATTTTCGTAAAACTACTGTGTTTTAGGTATGGCGTGAAAACCAAGTGAACAAGCCAATATGTAAATTAGCACAGGCTTACCTCGACCGCGTCCGTTCGCTCTGTGTGTCTTGAAGCACAACAAGTCACAACGAAGGGCATGTATCGACTCCCGCATGCTATTTACTACTGTAGCTAGCCCGTGCCAGACTCTCCTCGAGCTACTAGCGGGATACCACGAGTAAAGGCATAAAAGGCCCGGCCCATCAATTAGTGGTACCGCACACGCGCAGTTCGCCGAGGGTTTGCACTTTAGTGCTTTTCATTAACCCTCGGCGCGCATGCGCAGCGAGGGTTACGGTAGTTGTCCCGTAAGTGTGTCAGTCAGTCTGTCAGTCTGTCTGTTACCACGTTTTCTGCGACTACGCGCAACGAGATAACAAAATAGCGATACCAACGGGTTCGTCGCTACATTTTAAAAAAGGCGATTTTCGTATAACAACTGCGTTCGAAAGTTATGGCGTGAAAAGCAAGTGAACAAGCCAATATGCAAATTAGCGCAGGCTTACCTCGACCGCGTCCGCTCGCTCTGTGTATCTTGCAGGCACAAGAAGTCACAACGAAGGGCGTGTATCGACACCCGCATGCTATCTACTACTATACCTAGCCCGTATCAGACTCTCCGCGAGCTACTAGCGGGATACCACGAGTAAAGATACAAAGCCCAGCCCATCAATTAGTGCTACCGCGCATGCGCAGTTCGCCGAGGGTTTGCACTTTAGTGCTTTTCATTATATCAGCAGCTGAGGGTCAGCATGTGGGGAAAATGGTACTCTCCGCAGTCTTGCAACAGAGGAGTCATTTGAGTCATTTTGGAACAATGTTACTGCAATGGCAGGGTCAGCCAGTCAACGATTAAAAGCACCTAAACGGTACGAGAATGGCTTGACAAGTGGTGACTTCCATGACACTCCTAAAGCATTCTATCGCCAGTGTTGTACTACAAAGCGACTGATAACATTGTGAATGCCTTATAAAATTGATTTAACCAGCCAGGATTTGAAATTTCCTGCAAGTTGGAAGATCTGTTGGTCAAGGGAAGATTTTCAAGCTTTGCCTGCTCCTTTACTAGGTTGACTTTTACCCTGATCTCCTAAAGGCTCAGTTACTTACATTTGGTTTAGATTTTCAAGCTGCACAATAGCAAGCATGTGGAGAGCCATCACTAAGCCTACTATCTTTGACATCAGGGACTACTTCAAGTATTTTTCTCAGGCTCAAAGACAACTCCTTCATCAAGTGTGTCAAGCTCTTCAAATAATTCTGGTAATGCCTGGTACTAACGCAATATTAGAAAAATCATTCAGTGCCTCACGTTGTGTAAAGAGCTATCTTCGCGACACCATAGGATAGCATTAATGGCTGAACAATTTGATGGTCCTCCACGTCCATAAAGATCGAACAGATATGATAAACATGCTGGAAGTTGTGAATTACTTTGTATATATTATAAAGGAATCTGAGCAAAGGTATCACGTATTTGGTAAATTTTAATTCTATTGTAACCACTTCACCCTAAGTCCAGAATGTTATTTACACTTGAAATTTAGCTACCTTCAGGTACCGAATCACGCTTGTATCTATGTGACTATGTAGGCCCGGCAAGAGTTGACAGATTGCACCAGAAACACTCTCAGAATGTCCTAATTTTCAAAATTTTCCAGGGGCAGCATTACGTGCTTCATCACTCTCTGGTTGGCCTGAGCACTCAAAAATTGCTTGCTCCGGCCCTGCCACATATCCATACGTGCCCATCTTCCTTGATCACTGCCACTATTGGGGCCACCCACTCAGAAAACCTAACAGGTCCTATCACTCCCACCTTCTGTAACCGTTCTACTTCTCTCTTTGCCGCCCCCTTTAACATGAAGATTAGACCATGTAATGCCAAGTGAAAAAAGATGTGGAGCTCTGGACAGCTGTTTCGGGGTTGTTGGCTCTCATCAGCAGAGCATAGCTACCCCAACTTCTCTCTCTGGCACCACGAGTTTATAAAGGCTACCAGGAGCGCAGCACTTGTGGTTCTGAACTCATCCCCACAAGGCTTTTCCACTGGTATGTGCTGCTAACCATGCCCTGACATTCGTGGTTTGGAGCCGAGGCCCCTCCCCACTCCTGCTGTTCAAGGCCAGCGCATGTACGGGAAGGAGTGGGGCTTCTTGAAGATTGGTTTAGCGTTGGGTGAGACATGAATTTTAGCATGCATTCCTTTCAGTCCCCCCCGCCCCTCCTCAAACACTAACTTGTGTTTGCTAAGCCCTGGTGGTGTCAGGTGCATGTTGCAGATGTGTTTTGTGCTCCCGCAACGGTTGCACGGGTCGCCACATTGCTGGCTGCTTCCTGTTCGTCGCCGTTTGTTAGGTTGACATCTTGGCCTTCAGCGGGCTGCGATGGTGGCTGGTGCACCTGAGCATTCTGCTCCGCTGCGGCGCTGCCTCCATGGCTCTGGCCGTGTGCAGTGCAGCGTGAGGTCTGCCTCAGATAGCAGCTTACACTGTATGTTTCGGTTTGCCAGGCCACAGACCATAATATTCGATCTCTGAGCATCTCCTTCGTCGTAGCACCAAACTCACAGTGTTCGCTCAGGCGTTTCAGTTGGGCCACGAAGTCAGCGACGGATTCTCCCGCTTTTGTGACCGCGAGTGAAATCGGAATCGTCTTATTATACCATTACGGACGGTTTTGGTGTACTGCACATACTGCATGAATCACGAATGGTCGTACATAGCATTCTCAATACATAACGGTCTCAAGCGTCCCGATTCAGTCAGGACTCTCCCGCTAATCGTCTCTTCGTCTCACTATCCTGCTTACCAATGCATTTATCCTGTGTAACAGTTTTATTTCCCTGGTACTGTCAGTGATGACCTTCTCTCTCATCAGATTGGTGCTGTTCCTCTGGGGATAGCTGCTGATCAAGGACATACTGAGACAGTTCATAGACTGTTGGAGGCAGGAGCCAACGTCAACCACCAGAACAAGGTGTGTGTTTTGGTTGTCTACACTTACTGTATACAGTGGAACCCCTCTAAGGCGGACAACTTAGAGCCACAACATTTTGTCCATTATAGCGAGGTGTCCTTTATGGAGGGGTTTTGCCTGATTAGACATTATTACACTATTCTATGTAACTAATTCACTGTTAACATCCTTAAAAACACTCTAGACAAGATTACAACATGATGTGATGATGATGATGACAGTAGTCTAAGTCTATAGAAATTATTGCGTGCTAAAATATTACGCGCTTCTTTTTAACTAAACATGCTGCCTGATGTCGTCGTGCGTATACGCGTGTGTGTGTGGCTCCGTACTCTCGCAATCATGATCAGTCCTGAAGATGCCCTTCGTTGTCGAAGAGAGAAGGAAAGAAAACATCGTGCCCGTGAGACTCCTGAGCAGAGAGAGGCTCATCTGTATCAGCGTCGCTTGCGTGATAGGGAACTATTTTCAAAATTTTCACACGCTGCCTAGCTATCGTATCGATTCGAAATCTAGCCAGCGAAAGAAACTCTCGTCTATTGGCTGGTATTCGCTGCGCTCTTCGATACCTGACCGAGGCTGTGTGATACCTCTTTCCAATGTTCGTGGATGGCTCTTGCAGATACAATCATTGTGTGCTCGCCAATAATACCATGCTTTCGCCTACTAGTATTTGCTGCCAGTGGGTGCGGCAAACTGTGCGTTACGCGTTTTTTTTTATACGTTCAAAAGTAGTTGGGATTGGTTTTACTGTCCGTTATACGGAGTAGGGGGGTGTCCGTTCTGGAGGGGTTATGAACGTACGGAACTCTACGATAAAACAATCGGGACCTGCGAGTTTGTCCATTATAACGCGGTGTCCGTTGTAGAGGGGTGTCCGTTAAGCGGGGTTCCACTGTATACATACACACCTATCTTTCTTCTCTCTCCTTCGTGTCTTTCCACTCTCTCTTGGTAATTATGACAGCTCAGGTGTACACAGTAAAAGTGCAGGCATAATTAACCCTCGGCGCGCATGCACAGCGAGGGTTACTGTAGTTGGGTTTGTCTGTCTGTCTGTCTGTTACTCTCAATCTCACTTCTCGGTGTTTGTTCGTCTCACAAAGGATACGATCTACTTAACGGGCAATGAAGGTCAGAAATTTCGAACGGTTTTCTCTGAAAGTGCTCCGTTGCAAAGCTAGAGCGCTTCCAGCATTGTATGGCTAATGCCGGTAGTCGCCATTTTATCGCTGGTGGATAATGCGCATGTGCTTATATTTACCTCCACCGGGTCCGCTTGCTCTGTCTATCTTGAAGGCACAAGACGTCACAACGAATGGCGTGTATCGACTCTTGTGTGCTATCTACTACTGTAGCTAGCCCGTGTCAGACTCTCTGCGAGCTACATCGCCGAGGGTTTGCACTTTAGTGCTTTTCATTGGGTCTGTGTGTCTGTTACTCTCAATCTCACTCCTCGAATGTCTGTTCGTCTCACAAAGGATATGACCTACTCAACGGGCAATGAAGGTCAGAAATTTCGAACGGTTTTCTTTGAAACTACTCAGTTGCAAAGCTAGAGAGCGAAAAAGCCAATATGCAAATACACAACGGACGGGATGGCTCACCACAGTCCGATTGATCCGCGTGCTCTGCGTACTTCGGAGGCACCAGAAGATGCAACGCAGGGCGTGTATCGCCTTTCGCATACTATCTAGTAGTGTAGTTAGCCTGCGTCAGACTCTGCGCGAGCTGGCAAGAGACCAAGAGTAACAGCTAAAACTAAACCCAGCCCATCAATTAGTGGTACGGTGCATGCGTTTACTTACGCGTGCGCGTCACAGCACAGTGCGCCGAGGGTTTGCACTTCAGTGCTTTTCATTATCTCATGAATAAAAGTGCCTTATTGAAGTAAAATTGGTTGCATTGTGTATTTTGCCTCTCATAGACTTGTTCTCCACACAGAGTGGAAGCACAGCCTTGCTCTATGCAGGATGGGAAGGTCACTCGGAGGTGGTGAAACTACTGCTAGGAGCAGGGGCCACAGACATTCCTAATAAGGTATATAGACCAACTCTAAACATGTAGAGAAAAGAGTGTCCTACTGTCTATGCTGATGGAATTCTCTCTCTGCCTGTCTCTGTAGTATAGTTCACTATCGTCTCTCTCTCTCTCTTTTTATTTTTTGATGAATGTCTCTCGGACAGCTCATGGACGACCAC